GTGTGTGTGTGTGTGTGTGTGTGTTCTACGTGTGTGTGTGTGTTCTACGTGTGTGTGTGTGTGTGTGTGTTTCTACGTGTGTGTGTGTGTTCTACGTGTGTGTGTGTGTGTTCTACGCGTGTGTGTGTGTGTTCTACGTGTGTGTGTGTGTTCTACGTGTGTGTGTGTGTGTTCTACACGTGTGTGTGTGTGTTCTACGTGTGTGTGTGTGTGTGTTCTACGTGTGTGTGTGTATGTTCTACACGTGTGTGTGTTCTACACGTGTGTGTGTGTGTGTGTTCTACGTGTGTGTGTGTGTGTGTGTGTGTTCTACTGTGTGTGTGTGTGTGTGTGTGTGTGTTCTACGTGTGTGTGTGTGTGTGTGTGTGTTCTACGTGTGTGTGTGTGTGTGTGTTCTACGTGTGTGTGTGTGTGTTCTACGTGTGTGTGTGTGTGTTCTACGTGTGTGTGTGTGTGTGTGTGTGTGTGTTCTGTGTGTGTGTGTGTTTCTACGTGTGTGTGTGTGTTCTACGTGTGTGTGTGTGTGTGTTTACGTGTGTGTGTTCTACGTGTGTGTGTGTGTGTGTGTGTTCTACGTGTGTGTGTGTGTGTGTGTGTTCTACGTGTGTGTGTGTGTGTGTGTGTGTTCTACGTGTGTGTGTGTGTGTGTGTGTGTTCTACGTGTGTGTGTGTGTGTGTTCTACGTGTGTGTGTGTGTGTGTGTTCTACGTGTGTGTGTGTGTGTTCTACGTGTGTGTGTGTGTGTGTGTGTGTGTGTGTGTGTGTTCTAACGTGTGTGTGTGTGTGTGTGTGTGTGTGTGTGTTCTACGTGTGTGTGTGTGTGTGTGTGTGTGTGTGTTCTACGTGTGTGTGTGTGTGTGTGTGTGTGTGTTCTACGTGTGTGTGTGTGTGTGTGTGTGTGTGTGTTCTACGTGTGTGTGTGTGTGTGTGTGTTTCTACGTGTGTGTGTGTGTGTGTGTGTTCTACGTGTGTGTGTGTGTGTGTGTGTGTGTGTGTGTGTGTGTGTGTGTGTGTGTGTGTGTTCTACGTGTGTGTGTGTGTTCTACGTGTGTGTGTGTTCTACGTGTGTGTGTGTGTGTGTGTGTGTGTTCTACGTGTGTGTGTGTGTGTGTGTTCTACGTGTGTGTGTGTGTGTGTGTGTGTTCTACGTGTGTGTGTGTGTTCTACGTGTGTGTGTGTGTTTTGTTCTCACAGTTTGAGACAGTTGAACATCTGGAGACAAACGTCTCTGATCTCGTCTTCGTTCTTGGCGTCTGCAGACACTTCCTGGAGGAACCCGCCCACGGCCTCGAACACCTCCTCAGCATCTTCAAAGTCGGCTCCTCCGCTGTCCAACACTCCTGCGGAACACACACACACACACACACACACACACACACACACACGTTCTATCAGAGGTCAGGAGAACACTGTCCAAACCTCCTGCGGAACACACACACATGTTCTATCAGACACGTTCTATCAGACACGTTCTAAACACAGTGAGGAAAGGTTCTGCTCCGTCCTGTCAGTGAGACTCGTTTGGTCTTGGAACGTGTGGAACATGAGGTTCTAGTGTCTGGTTTTATTCTGCTTTAGTTTCTGTTTTTGGATATTTTGATGTGAGTAGGACTGGAACAATAATCAATAAATCAACTGATCGTACGAAAACTTTGAATGAGCTCGATGCCTTTTCCGGTCGTGATAAATCCTGTTTGCAGCTGGGTTGTTTTCTTCGCTCTGTCGCTCGTGAAGAGTCTGAATGTTGAAGTTTCTGTGGCTCTGACTCATCTCGTTTATCAAGTGTAATGACTCTTCAACCCTCGTCTGTGTTTATCGACACAGCGGACGCAGAAAACTCCACTGTCTGTGCCGTTTAACATGAAGCTCCAACACGAGCGCCGCCTCAGAACCAAAACTGTTCATCACCGAGAGACAAAACACGTCACGATGACGAATCAACACTGGTGAGTGTTACACGTCTCAACAGACACGTGGGTCAAATGCAGCGAAAAGCAAACGACGAGAAGAAACGGGCCCAGTCAAGTAGAAGTAAACAACAAGACCAAAAATGAATTCATCTGATATAAAAGTGTATTGAACAGATACATATGTCTCTAGTTTATGAAACTGTTGACCTTTTTTCTGTACCATTTTTGGTTCTAAAGTTCCATCCGTTTTAAACAGACCATGAATGAAACATGGAACCAAAATTATTTCCCACATTTCAAAGACCTGAAAATCATGTCAATAAATGTTTGTATTTCATCATATCTTGTGTTATTCCATCTTTGAACTGTTGATGAAGGAACAGGATTTAAAAAAAAAAAAAAAAAGTATTTAAAATGATAAAAATGTTCTTGGAAGGACTGACATATTTTATAGAAATAGTTTACTTTCATTTTGAAGTAATATTAAAGTATTCGGGGAAAAAAAGTGACAAATGATGTAAAATCCTGCACCTTCTACTTGTTTGTACAATTTTCCCTCCGTTACCATGAACTTTCTTAATAAAAAATCTCATGAGTCAAAAAGTCAGAGGTTTTTCACCCTAATCTTGTACCATATGGTAGAAAACTATATGAAGCAAATATTCAAACCAGTTTGTTCAGGATATGGAAGTGAGAACCAAGAGTTATCACTGTTTGGATTTATTGTATTTCATTCCCTCCGTTACCGACATGAGTTTTTACATTTTTTGTCTTGAACTTGAAAGAATCTCACAGGTTTAACTTGACCCTGTTGGAGTGTAACTCTTTCCTACATTCTGATACTTTACTTATTTCAATAGTTCCTCTAGTTTCTGAATAAGAGACATTTGAATGTCAAAAATCCAAACTGCAACACAAGCACCGCCGCCAGAACCAAAACTGTTCATCGACGAGTGACAAAACACTTCACAATGTCGAATCAACACTGGTGAGTGTTACACGTTTCAACAGACACGTGGGTCAAATGCAGCGAAAATCAAACAACGAGAAGAAACGTCTCTAACCCCAACAGCCGATATAAACCCAAACCCAAGCAACACACCTAGCCCCGCCCCCGAGAAGAACCTGAAATCCACTGAAATCCCACAAGACTCAGCCACGACACCAGATAGAACAGAGACTCACTCACACAAACAGGATCATGTGTCGCAGGTTCATACAAACACTTCAAGACCAAAACACCGAGGCCACAGCAGCAGGAACAGAGACGAGACACAATATTCCAGTGTAAATCAATGACTAAAATCACTTTTAAGGACAATTTTGTTACAGAGACTTAATACTTCATTTTATTTATTGCTTTGGTTGTGGTTATTAGGTTAGTCCTGTGTTAAATCTGTTTTATTTAGGCCTGTTGTTTTTGTTTGTCTTACTCTTCCTGTGTTTAATGTTTTTTAGAAAGTAAAGTTTATTGATCATTGAGAGGATGGATTTGTATTTTTATTCCATGTTTAGGGTGAAATTAAATTCTTGGTCAATTCATCGTCCAGTAAAATCTGTTCTGGTTCCAGGTCTAGATGTGATCCACATAAAGAAGAATCGTGTGAACAGAAGAGACGAGCAGCAGCTGCGTCGTTTACACTTTAAACTTTTTCTGTTTGGATAAATGAGCCTCTTCATCCTCACACGCGACTTTCGGCTTCTGCTCTTCGTCAGACGAGCAAAGAAGAGGAAGAACCCGCTGGACTTGGCTGGACTTCACGGTCGAGTCCGTCACAGCTGCTCAGATCTGACCAAGATTTTAAACCTTCTTCTCTCAGGTTCTTCATGTTGTTTTCAGGTTTATGATGGACTCCCTCGTTCTGAATCAGTCGTGTCGTCGTAAAAAAGTGTCACATGTTTTTCTCCCGTGACTCGGCTCGTCAGAAAAGCTTAGATTTAGGCACTAAATATTTAACCGAAGCGACACGTTTTCCCTGCGACACTTCACTTGGTTTTGGATTCAGTGACACAGATTTACTCGAGACAAGACGACAACGAAAATACAAACACGTACGACTGATTTAAGAACTTACATTAAGATTTTAGCAGCTTTAAAGTTATTCTCACTCATCGCTAACTGGTTTTAAATCTGTTTATGTAGAATTTAGCAGAATTTAAAGTATTTTATCTAGAATTTGGCATGTTTCAACTCATTATCAGACCATAAACACTGATCCTAAACAGATTTTAAGTCTGTTTCTGTCAAACTGAGCCTCATAAACTTATTTCCACCTCGTGAACTCTGAGCACACAGATTCATTCTCCTCTAGAGGGAGTTTAATGTCCAGTAAAATGATCTTGCTACATGGACACATCATTTCTCTACTTTAAACTCATTTTAAGTGTTTATATGTTCGATTTTTTTTACAGTGTTTCTCCTCCGCATCCAACGTGCGCTGACAAACGCTCACACTTTTACACATTTTACGCTTTAAACGTTTTAAACTCGTTTTGTTCTGGAGTTATTCTAAGCTGCCGTGTGTTGAGTGAAGCCTCGGAGCCCGGGTTTCGGAGCTCGGAGCCCGGGTTCCGGAGCTCGGAGCCCGGGTTCCGGAGCTCGGAGCCCGGGTTCCGGAGCTCGGAGCCCGGGTTCCGGAGCTCGGAGCCCGGGTTCCGGAGCTCGGAGCCCGGGCTCCCGGACCACGCCGCGAGCTTCAGCCGGTCTCCGCTCCGTTAGCATTAGCCTGTTAGCTCGGCCGGTGGTGTTGAGCTCCGGAGCCCCGCGGGACGCTGACAGTTTGAGGCCGGGCTCCGGGCGCTCCCGGGCGGGTGTCGGGGGTGTGCGGAGCCGGGGCGGTACCTGTGATGTAGTCGAACAGCTCCGTGTCGATCTGCGGGAACTCGCTCTTCAGGATGTCCACGTACGACGCCATGATACCCGGCCTGGACACGGACGGACTGCGCAGGCGCCGAACTGCGACAGCTGCGGGGCTCATGGGAAATGGAGTCCTCAGCTGGGCCGCTTTCTAAATAAGATAAGATTTTAATAAAAACATCATATATTCATAATATTACAAATAAATAAATATATAAACAAATAAAACGTTTAGCATTTTAAAATAAAACACACATTTAAAAAAACTCCTACACAATAAAATATAATAATATTAATAACTTTAAATATAACATACTGTTATCTGAAAAGGTAAAGGAAAATGTAAGTGTATGTGTATGTGTGCTTGTATAATGTATGTGTAAGGGCGTTTTGGGATTGCCATAAAGGAAAAAAAAAAAGGAATAAACAGAAATCAAAAGATTCAAGGGAACAGAAAATATGTAAATGCAAATTTGATTTGACAGCCCTAAAATGTAAATACACAAACTCCTCCCCCACCCCTTCTTTATATTTATTTATTGTTCTGTTGTTAGACTAGTTCTTTTGTTGTTTGTTTTTATTTTTTTATTAATGTGCTGGGTATTCATTCCCTCAAATAACAAAATAATAATAATAATAATAATAATAATAATAATAATAATAATAATAATAATAGAATTAAAAATCTACTTTTCAATTGTATATTATTGGTTTCATATAAAAACAAAATACATTATTTTATAAAAAAAAAAAATAATAATAATAATAATAAAATAAATAGATTTACTATAATTAAAGACATGTCACTCCAAAAATAATAAAGATAATAAACATGAAGTAGTTGTAGGAATATTAAAAGTTAAATATTATCTTTTTTTATTTATCATCTTTTTAAGTTTTATGTGTGAATTTTGGAAACTGCAGTTGAAAATAATGAACAGATACATGTTCTTAAAATGCAAAATAAGATGCAAAAAATCTGTGGCTGTTCTTACTAAACTTCCATCCATCCATCCATTTTCGTCCGCTTATCCGGGTTCGGGTCGCGGGGGCAACAGTCTGAGGAGGGCCTCCCAGACTTCCCTCTCCACACACACGTCCTACAGCTCTTCCAGGGGGATCCCGAGACGTTCCCAGGCCAGCCCAGAGACATAGTCCCTCCAGCGTGTCCTGGGTCTTCCCCGTGGCCTCCTCCCAGTGGGACATGCCCAGAACACCTCCTGAGGGAGGCGCCCAGGAGGCATCCGGAACAGATGCCCGAGCCTCAACTGGCTCCTCTCGACGTGGAGGAGCAGCGGCTCTACTTCGAGCTCCTCCCGTGTGACTGAGCTCCTCACCCTATCTCTAAGGGAGCGCCCAGCCACCCTGCGGAGGAAACTCATTTCGGCCGCTTGTATCCGCGATCTCGTCCTTTCGGTCACTACCCAGAGCTCATGACCATAGGTGAGAGTAGGAACGAAGACTGACCGGTAAATCGAGAGCTTCGCCTTTCGACTCAGCTCCTCTTCACCACAACGGTCCGATACAGCGACCGCATCACTGCCGAAGCTGCACCGATCCACCTGTCAATCTCACACGTTCCATCCTTCCCTCACTCGTGAACAAGACCCCGAGATACTTGAACTCCTCCACTTGAGGCAAAGACTCTCCACCCACCCGGAGAGGACAAGCCACCTTTTTCCGGTCGAGAACCATGGCCTCGGACTTGGAAGAGCTGATCTTCATCCCAGCCGCTTCACACTCGGGTCAAACCGCCCCAGTGCACATTGCAGGTCCTGGTTCGATGAAGCCAACAGGACAACATCATCCGCAAACAGCAGAGATGAAATCCTGTGGTCCCCAAACCGGACCCCCTCCGGCCCCTGACTGCGCCTAGAAATTCTGTCCATAAACACAATGAACAGAACCGGTGACAAAGGGCAGCCCTGGCGGAGTCCAACATGCACCGGGAACAGGTCTGACTTACTGCCGGCAATGCGAACACAGCTCCTGCTCCGGTCATACAGGGACCGGACAGCCCTTAGCAAAGGGCCCCGGACCCCATACTCCCAGAGCACCCCCCACAGGACACCACGAGGGACACGGTCGAATGCCTTCTCCAGATCCACAAAACACATGTGGACTGGTTGGGCAAACTCCCATGAACCCTCGAGCACCCGATGGAGAGTGTAGAGCTGGTCCAGTGTTCCACGGCCAGGACGAAAACCACACTGCTCCTCCTGAATCCGAGGTTCGACTATCGGCCGGATTCTCCTCTCCAGTACCCTGGCATAGACCTTACCGGGAAGGCTGAGGAGTGTGATCCCCCTATAGTTGGAACACACCCTCCTGGTCCCCCTTCTTATACAGAGGGACCACCACCCCGGTTTGCCAGTCCAGAGGTACTGTCCCCGACCGCCACGCGATGTTGAAGAGGCGTGTCAGCCAAGACAGCCCCACAACATCCAGAGACTTCAGGTACTCAGGACGGATCTCATCCAACCCCGGAGCCTTGCCACCAAGGAGCTTGCCAACCACCTCAGTGACTTCGGCCAGGGTGATGGATGAGTCCGCCTCCGAGTCCCCAGCCTCGGCCTTCCTCCTCGGAGGACGTGACGGTGGGATTGAGGAGATCCTCAAAAGTATTCCTTCCACCGCCGGACAACGTCCCCAGTCGAGGTCAAGCAGCTCTCCCCCCGCACTGTAAACAGTGTTGGTGAAGAACTGCTTTCCCCCTCCTGAGGCGCCGGACGGTTTGCCAGAATCTCTTTGAGGCCGTCCGATAGTCCTTCTCCATGGCCTCCCCGAACTCCTCCCAGCTCCGAGTTTTTGCCTCCGCGACCACACGGGCTGCAGCACGCTTGGCCCGCCGGTACCCGTCAGCTGCCTCAGGAGTCCCCCGAGCCAGCAAGGCCCGATAGGACTCCTTCTTCAGCTTGACGGCATCCCTTACTTCCGGTGTCCACCACCGGGTTCGGGGATTTCCGCCGCGACAGGCACCACAGACCTTACGCCCACAGCTCCGAGCAGCTGCATTGACAATAGAGGCTGAGAACAGAGCCCACTCGGACTCCATATCTCCCGGCCTCCCCCGGAATCCGGGAGAAGTCCTCCCGGAGGTGTGAGTTGAAGATCCCTCTGACAGAGGCTCCTGCCAGACGTTCCCAACAGACCCTCACAATACGCTTGGGCCTGCCAGGTCCCTTTCCGGCTTCCTCCTCCTGCCAGCGGACCCAACTCACAACCAGGTGGTGATCAGTTGACAGCTCAGCCCCTCTCTTCACCCGAGTGTCCAAGACACGCGGCCGGAGGTCAGATGACACGACGACAAAGTCGATTATCGACCTCCGGCCTAGGGTGTCCTGGTGCCACGTGCACTTATGGACCTTGTGCTGGAACATGGTGTTTGTTATGGACAAACTGTGACTAGCACAGAAGTCCAATAACAAAACACCACTCGGGTTCAGATCGGGGAGGCCGTTCCTCCCAATCACCCCTCTCCAAGTGTCACTGTCGTTGCCCACGTGGGCGTTGAAGTCCCCCAGGAGAACAACGGAGTCCCCGGTCGGTGCACTGTCTAGTACCCCTCCCAAGGACTCCAAGAAGGCCGGGTACTCGAGTACTCTGCACTGCTGTTCGGCCCGTAGGCCGACACCACAGTGAGAGACCTGTCCCCGACCCGAAGGCACAGGGACACGACCCTCTCGTTCGGGGTAAACTCCAACACGTGGCGGCTGAGCTGTGGGGCTATAAGCCCACACCAGCTCACCGCCGCTCCCCGCGGGCAACGCCAGAGAAATGGAGGGTCCAACCCCCTTCAAGGAGTTGGGTACCAGAGCCCAAGCTGTGCGTAGAAGTGAGCCCGACTATATCTAGCCGGTATCTCTCAACCTCCCGCACAAGCTCGGGCTCCTTCCCCCCCAGCGAGGTGACGTTCCACGTCACCACAGCCAGATGCTGTGTGTGCGGACCAGGCCGTCGGGACACCCGTTCCCAACCGCCGCCCAGTCCTCTGTGCACCCGACCCCTATGAACCCATCTGCGGGTGGTGAGCCCACAGGAGGGTGGACCCACGTCGTCCTTTCGGGCTGAGCCCGGCCGGGCCCGTGGGCAAAGGCCCGGCCACCAGGTGCTCGCATTCGAGCCCCAACCCCAGGCCTGGCTCCAGGGTGGGGCCCCGGCTGCGCCATCCCGGGCGACGTCACGGTCCTCGATATTAAACTGTTCATAGAGGTTCTATGAACTGCTCTTAGTCTGCCCCGTCACCTAGGACCTGTTTGCCATGGGAGACCCTCCCAGGGGCATGAAGCCCCGGGCAACACAGCTCCTAGGATCATTCGGGTACAAACTCCCCCACCACAGTAAAGTGGCAGTTCAAGGGGGAGTCTTACTAAACTTGCTGAACCTAAAATAAAAGTGAAATAAAGTCTGAAATGATAAAATATTCCAAAAAGTACGGAAGTTAATTTGTAATTTATAATTTCAGATTTTGAATTTTAAATGTTGTTGAATTTTTTTACTACTGCTTTTTACTTTTTTAACTCTGAAAAAATGTGTTTGAATAATTTTTAATCTGAATCGTAGTTGATAAAATTTTATGTGCACATTTTCAAAGTGTTTAAATAAATAAATAAATCACCTTTAAAATTTTTGAGCTCTCAAATTCAACTGTTAAAATTTACACTCAGAATTTTAGACTCAGAAATTTACACTCTGAATTTTACTCTGAAATTTACTCTGAAATTTACACTTTGAATTTTACTCTGAAATTTACACAGTGAAATTTACATTCTGAATTTTGACTGTTGAATTTGAGGACTTCGAAAATATTTCTGCTGTATATTTAAAATGTGATTTTTTTTTTATTGTACACATTTTTAAATGTACACATAAAATTTCTAAAACTACGATTCAGATTAAAAATTATTCAAACACATTTTTTCAGAGTTAAAAAAAAAAAATCAAAGTGAGAAATTCAACAGTGTTTAAAATTCAAAATCTGAAGTGTTGTGGAGTAACAGATTACATGTACCAGAGTTAAGTAATCAGAGTACAAATGATGAGTAACTGTATTCAGTTACAGTTACTGTTTCAGTGAGTGGTAATTGGATTACAGTTACTTTGTTGAAATAAATGGATTACACAGAGGGATTTTCCTGTTTTCACATTTTGGGCTAAACCAGGACTAAACCAGGACTAAACCAGGACTAAACCAGGACTAAACCAGGTCTAAACCAGGACTAAACCAGCGCAAATTTGAAGAGAACAAAAGAATTTTCAGGATGTGGTTGCTGCATTCATGTAGTTTTGAAAAACATGACAAAATCAAGTAATCCAAAGTAATCAGATTACATTATTCACTTTAAGTAATTTAATGGATTCTGTTACAAACTACATTTTGGGGTATGTAATCTGTAATCTGTAGGGGATTGCATTTTAAAACTTCCCAACACTGAAAATCTGATAGAACAAATGATCTTCCGCATGTTTTGGAATATTTTATCATTTCAAACTTTATTTAATTATTATTTTAGGTTCAGTAGGTTAAGTAAGAACAGCCACTGATCATTTCAACATGTTATTTTCAAATTTTAAAAAAAAAGTGATAAATTCAACAGTGTTTAAAATTCTACGACAGAGTATAAGGGTCAGAAAAAAATAAAATAAAAATGCTGGCACTACGAGAATAAAGTCGTAACATTTCGACATTAAAGTCCTAATATTATGAGAATAAAGTCGAAGCCAGAAAAAATAGTAATTTTATGAGAATAAAGTCATACATTTACAGGAATAAAGTCGTAATTTTACAAGAATAAAGTCGAAGTTAAAATAAAGTTGAAATTTTATAAGAATAAAATTCTAATATTACGAGAATGAAGTCGTAATAAAATCAAAGTCAAAGTGAAAAATGCGGCAGAAGAAGAACCTTATGTTATTAGGTTCTTTTTTTTCAGACCTAGAGAGTATTTCATCCCTGACAGTTTGGACTGTTCACTCGCGTCTTCCTCAGAGTCACATGATGTTGCTGTGACGTGTCCGGTCAGATGATTTAAACAGGTTTTGGCGCTGTCTTCCTACCGGTGGAGGCAGGATGAGGGGCTTTTTTACTCTCACACACCTGGGATACTGTCCCGAGGAAGTGGGACTGCAGATGGCGCTGTCGTCCTGCCTCCACCGGTAGGAAGACAGCGCCAAAACCTGTTTAAATCATTATCGTTATTTTCAAATTTAAAAAAAAAAGTGATAAATTCAACAATGTTTAAAATTCAAAATCTGATAGAACAAATTATCTTCCACTAATTTAAAAAAAAGTGATGAATTCAACATCGTTTAAAATTCCAAACGATGTTCCATGAAAACTCCTCCGTCGTTCGCGTGTGCGCATGCGCCTCCGCCGTGTTTGTGTTTGGGTCGGCGCGTGTGCGCATGCGCCGTGGCTCTTTGGGTGGGAGTTTAGCCTGTTAGCCGGAGCGTGTAATGGCGGCCTCGGTGCTCCTGGGGTCTGCTGCGGACAACACCGGCCTGGGCTGCGGCGGAGGAGGCGCGGGACACGGCGGGGGAGCGGGACACGCCGTCCCCGCGGGCCCGGGACACCTCCACGGTCACCTCGGAGCGCCGTGGAACCGCTCCCTGGACCGGGCCCTGGAGGAAGCGGCGGCCACCGGGAGCCTGAACCTGAGCGGCCGGAAACTGAAGGAGTTTCCCCCGGGCGCAGCGAACCACGACCTGACGGACACCACCAGGGCCGGTGAGGAGCCGCGGGAGAGCCGGGGAGAGCCGGGGAGAGCCGCGGGGCAGGGAGCCGGGCCCGCGCTGTGGTTTAGTCCCAGTTTGTCGGTCTTTTCTTGGCCTTTTGCGTGTGTTTGGTGGAGTTTGGACATAAACGTTCCAACTGTTGGTTGAAAGTTGTTGGTCCCGTCGGCGCCCGGGCTCATTGTGTCGCTCCAACAGTTGGATTTGAGCTCAAAGTGCGTGGTTATTGGCGTGGGGAAAGTGACCCTCCCTCGCTCGTGTTGTGCACAGTGTTTTTCACACTTTTGCGCGTGTTTGATGAAGTTGAAATGAGCCAAAAGTGAAGTGGGAGAAGCTGCGTCAAACTGCATCCCTTTGGAAGTGATGTCAACGCCAGCTTCCGTTTCCTTCTTTGGGCCTGTTTTTACTCCAAATATGAGACAAATGTGGCGAAAAACAAACACGGCGCCAAAAACACACCGTTCAACTTCAAAACAACAAACAAACAAACCAAAAAGTGTGTCATTCGTTCAAAAATAAGAAAACAAAAACAACAAAAAAAACCCAACGATTTTCTTTATTATTTGTCTCCAAAACCAAAATGAAAAAAAAACAGATAACGATTTGTTTTTTCACTTTTTGATTTTGTGTTTAAATGAAACGTTTTAGTCCCGTTTTAGTCCTGGTTTAGTCCTGTGGTTTAGTCCAGTTTTAGTCCTGGTTTAGTCCAGTTTTAGTCCCGTGCTTTATTCCTGGTTTAGTCCAGTTTTAGTCCCAATTTAGTCCAGGTTTAGTCCCGGTTTAGTCCAGTTGTAGTCCTGGGTTTAGTCCCGGTTCAGTCCTGGGTTTAGTCCCGGTTTAGTCCTGGGTTTAGTCCTCTGTTTAGTCCCGGTTTAGTCCTGGGTTTGAGCCCGGTTCAGTCCTGGGTTTAGTCCCGGTTTAGTCCCGGGTTTAGTCCCGGTTTAGTCCCGGGTTTAGTCCCGGGTTTAGTCCCGGGTTTAGTCCCGGTTTAAGTCCTGGGT